TGGAGGGATGGACACTGGGAAGAGGTAACTATGGGGAGGAGGTGGGAGGGGAGCTGTTGCATTGAGGTAAACTGTGGTCAATGACATGCGACAAAGTATATGTGAACTGCTGTATGGAAAGTGAATTTGCTTTGTAAATCTTCACCCAAATCACAATAAATAATAATAATAATAAAAATATATTTTCCTAATCTGATAAACTTTTGAGATCTATGGACAGCTATAATTGAAATGCCACATTTAAATCCTAGCACTTATATAAAGTGAAATTTGAGGCAAATTATTTAACTTCTCTGATTTTGTTTCATTTTTGTAAAATGATATTCGTAGTGTTTAGAACGGTTCCTCTCACATAGCTGCTGTTAGTATTATTATTATGCCCTCCAAGTGCTTTGTTTTTCTCTGAACATTCAGTTCATTCATCCATTCATTCTTTTAACCGGTGTTTAATTAGTACTTCGAACAAGGTACTTTTAAGGTGCTAAGATGTTATATATATGTAAGTAATCGTAGAATTGATACTCTAGTAGCAGAGATATGATACAGCTATAAATGGTGTATATGAAGAAAAAGCTGACATAAAGAAGGAAATAAGAGATAGAGGAATTGGGGTAATAGGGAAATGCTGTTGTTGTGTTATTGTTATGTGCCGTTGAGTCGGACCTGAGTCATAGCGACCCCTCCTTGGGTTTCCAAGGCAATATCACTACGGAAGTAGATTGCCCCATCTAGTCTTTAAAAAAACACAGAGGTCAAAAGCAGCAAAGTATTTGGAAGTGTTTTGGAATTAATTGTGTCCTCAAAATAATGTATTGGAGTCCTGATCCCTATACCTGTGGCTATAATCCTTTTTCGAAATAGATTTTCTTTGTTATGTTAATGAGGACATATCAGTATAGGGTGTGTCCTAAATTTAATTACTTCTGAATGGTATAAAGAACAGCATAGACACAGAGACTGAAAGCCAACACCAACCCTATTGCCATAGACACTATTTCTGCTCATGGGGACCCAATGTGTTACAAAGAAAAACAACTTCTTAGGGTTTTCTTGGCTGTAATCTTAATGGAAGCAGATTGCTAGGACTCTCTTCCACTGTACTGCTGAGTGGGTTTGAACTGCCAACCTTTAGGTTGGCAGTTGAGTGCAAACCATTTTTGCCACCTAGCACAGCACCTAAGGCAGTTGACTGCTAACTAGAAGGCTGGCGGTTCAAACCTACCAGCCACTCCTTGGAAGGAAGGTTGGGCAATCTACTTCCATTGTGATACCACCTTGGAAACCCAAGGAGGGGTTGCTGTGAGTTTGGTCTGACTCCATGGCACATAACAACAACAAAGGGACCTTACACACAAAGACAAAGAAGGGAAGATATGCCACATGTGTTAGTTCTCTATTGTAGTACAGAAATACCACAAGAGGATGGCTTTAACAAACAGGAATTTATTCTCTTACAGTTTAAGAGGCTAGAAGACTGATTTCAAAGTGTCAGCTCTAAGGTCTGGGTGAAGGCCCTCAACCTTGGGCTTTGGCTCTGCTTCTTATTCCAGGTTCACTAGAGCTGGAGACTTTTTTTGACTCACGCAATTGCTGGCAGTCAAGGCTGACAGACCCAAGATCAACAAGTAAAATGAAAATGACACAGTCCCAGGATTAACAGGCAACACAGCAGGCCCCTAGTTCAAGTCCACAAACAATCCCAAGATTGGCAGGTAACATGGCAGACCACTGAGATGAAGACTCGGCCAAATGCAGGATCCAGATGTGCCAAAAACCTGGAGACCTTCCCCCAAAGCTTCCTCATATATATTGAAAGGAGGCCAGATTCTCAAGGCAGGTACTTAGCTGCTCACAGCAGATTCAACCATGGAGGCACTCTTGTCAACCATGGAGTTGATTACCAATCTTATCATGGGAAATAACTACATCCAGCTGCCCAGCCACTCAAAACCACTGCCCAGCCAAGTTGACACACTTTAACTATTGCACCACATGAAGATCATCAAAGGACCAAAGAAAGCCAGGGATACAGAAGCTAAGTGTATCTTAGTGTCAGACCAAGACAGATCTCAGCTTTTTCTTGGCTATGCCTGCCAGCAATCCCCTTTTCACCAGGCCAGCTGGTGGCTCTTCTCTTGGCAGTGCCAGCCATTGCCTTCTGCCGCTGAATTACTCTTGGCCTCTGCTCTGCTCAGGCAATGTTACAGCTCTTTAGCTTTGCCAGCAAGCCTCCTGTCCAAAGGTGCTCAGCGTTGTCTTCCCCTATGGGCCAGCTAGAGTCCCCTGCAGCTGTCTGTCTCCACCATGCCATCTACCAGCAGGTCCACCACCATGCCATCTCATGCCAGTCTCCTGGCTCCTGTTGCTCTCATACTTCTGCTTCTTTTTTTTTTTTTTTTGCCACTGGGTTCTGCTTTTTACTGTCTTCAGTGTTAAACCTTTCTCTTCTGGGTCCAAGCAGCAATTATGGGTCCAAAGGATGTGCTTCATTCTAGACTCTTCTTGATGGTAGTGAGGTCCCTTCAACTTTTGTGGGACTGGCCCTTATATTCCATTTCAAAGCATGGCCCTCCCAGCTGACCAGTCCCTGCAAGGTCACTTAATACTTATTGGTGGTTTTATGAACAGTATTTGCATAGTAAACTGACCAGTCCCTGAATAGTGAATAAAATAGACCAATCACAAGGCTGGCAATGGGCTAACCAATTATTTTGGGCAGATTATAAACCCAAGTCCATATATAAGAGAAACCTTTTGCTAAGACTAGAGTGCCTTCCCCTATAACCAGTGCCCTGAATTCAAACTTCTAGCCTCCTAAACTGTGAGAAAATAAACTTGTTTTTTAATGCCATCCACTTGTGGTATTTCTGTTATAGCACCTAGCTAGGATAGAGGGAGAAGAACTTGAGTTAAACTTTGTGGTGTGTGTGAATTATCAGATAGACATAGGTAGCATTAAAATTCAATGGAATACTAAAAGTTCAGAAGAAAATCAAGGTGGTGTAAGAATCTCTGTCAACGCTACTCCCTAGCTCACTATTCCCCTCCCTCCCCACATGCCTTTCCTTGTTTTTCATGTCTTTGTCTAGTTTCCTAAGAAAAAATGTAGATGTAGAACTGTAGTGTCAAAGGGTATATGGATAATTTTATTAATTATTATTAAATCAATTCCACATTATATATTAGTATATATATGCAATTTAAATAATAATAGAAGAAAAAACTCATGTACCTACTTCTTAGCTTAAACAGAAATGATCAATGCTATTTTAGGCCCTCGAGAGCCTCTTCTGCGTGATACATTGCCTACCCATGGCTCACCCCTCCCCTTTATCAGGGTAATCTTTATCCTAAAATTTTGTGTATTATTCCTTAGCTTTTCTTTATAGTTGAACCACATACATATGTATATATGTATCCCTAAACAGAATGTTTATATTTGCATGTTTTAACTTTATATGGATAAAATATATTGTGTATGTAATTCTTTTTTTTTTTTTCACTCAAAATTATGTTTCTGAGATTCTTCCTGCTGATTTTTGTAGGTATGATTCCTTAAGATACTTTTTTCAAAGCCATAATATAATGTGTTTCATTGTGTAAGCCACAATTTATTCATTCTCCAAGTGATGATCATTTGAATTGTTTCATTTTTTTGCTATTGTAAACATTACTGCTATGAACCTTCTTACATGTGACTTGTAGTGCACATCTGCTAGAGTTCACGTAGAGCACATAACTAGGAAATTACTAGATAATGCTATTTTATTGTCCAAAATACTTGTACTAATTTACATTTCCATCAGCTGTGTGTGAGAGTACCTGTTGACCTACACTTGGAATTAAAAGATTTTTTTAACAAATGTTTGCCAACCTTGTGAGTGTGCTTGAACAATATCTCTTGGAAAGATCAGCACAAGGCCAGTCCCCGTGAGGCAGAGGTTAAAGATA